GGGGGGGGTGATTGTATCAGGAGCCTGGCTTGAGGAAACTGAGTCACAAGGCAACAATCATGTTCACGCCCATGCGATTCTTGCACTAAGTGGTGGATAAAGGGGTCTCTGTGGAGGGTTTCGGAAGGTCCCTGAAGAAAGGGAGCTAATGAATTTGGCCTGGACCAAGGCAGCTTGCGGGAAAGAGGCTTCCTTGGACCAAAAATACAATGTGGACAAAGGCAGAGGCAGGATGACTGGGGTGAGTCAGCTGGAGGCTGGGAGAGGAGGGAGGAAGGAGAGGGGACGAAGAGCTAGCTGACTCTCTGGTTCAGACAATAAATGCTCTGGATTTCTGAAGAGCAGTTTGCTCCGAAGAGATGCACATTTTACCAGGGAGTAAAAGACGGTATCCACCCCATGGTCTGGCCAAGCTCGGCCCAGGGACCTGCCAAGCCCAGCGTCTGCCCCTTGCAGCCGCCAGCACTTGGAGAACCACACTCTCGGATGCGGCCACTGCTTCCCTCCTGGCAGATTTGAGGACCTGACCTTGCAGTTGGCTCTGCTTCTAGGTGGGAGCCACTAATGAGATTAGTTGCCACTTTCCATTAGTGGTTCCTAAGGTTGGGCCTTTCGTGCCCCGGGGGAAGGATGCCGAAGGAATCTAAAGTAAATCTGTCCTCCGTGAGGTGCTGCTAAGGACACAACTGACATTTTGGTTTAGAAATCAGCCTCATTTGCTGCCTCATATCAACTAAGGAAAGATCTAGAGAGCGATGAGAAGAGGGAAAGAAGCCACAATAATATTTTAATCTGGGTATCAGATGGTGGGTGGCTGTTAAGCCTTTATCTTCTTTAGAAACTGAGACATGGAGATACTTCACCTGAGATGCACTTCCCCTTCCCCCATCTTGCTGGTTCTGAGAAACAGGACAATTGCTGTGGGAAGCCCCCAGAAATGCACCGCCCCCCGCCCTCAGGGAAGGGCCAACCTTCACCTTCCATCTGTGAGTAATGTAACTGATTCCAAACACGACTATCATTGAAAGGAATCTACTGAGCAGGCAGAATTGTAAATTATCCATTTCCCATTTTCTTTGGAATGAAACAGAAACATTAGCAAGAAATTTGGAACAAAATTTTCAATGCCTATAAGCAGAAAAAGCAGAGAATTCTATCTCCTGCTAACCGGCATCTACGGAGGGCTCCCTGCACGCAAACCATGGACTCGGATCCTTGCATCTTGCATGTGGACACCCCAATAGAATAGGCCAGTTGAGAGCACCAGACCAGGAGCTGGAATGTTCCAGTCTGTTGGTGACTCCCTCTGCAACTGTAGGTCATTCCCTTCCACCTGGACCTCCCTTTCTCTAACTCTCAACTGAGGGGCCTGCCTAGGGGCTCAGGCAATGTAGGATTCCAGCACGAGGGGCCATTCGTCAAAGGCTCACGGAAGAAAATCCCTAGATTCCCACTCTGACATCAGAGAATTAGGACTGGGGACACAAGAGGAGTCCCCTCCTGCAGAAGCTGGGGGGGGGGGGGTGGATATTGGGAGCTTCGTTTGCAGGTAATCAAGTTCCCCATGGTAGAGTGCCATCGATAGAAAAAAGCCGGCCCTTGAGTCGAATGTTTCTACCCGGCACTAAGCGCCATGAGAAAATGCTCCTGAGTGTGAGTGCTCCTTGTGCAGATTCGATCAGAATTTCAGCTTTGCGAATGCAGAGTTATAACATTTCAGGTGTTTTCGAACCCCAGGAATGCAAAAGCACACATTGCTGCCTAAAGCCAGGCTAACGAGCCCCTCGGCCTCTACGGCCGTCCAAAGTGGCAGCAGGCAAGAGGCTCAAGCCACTCTCCGTGGCAGTGTGCGCCCCTGGAGAACCCACACCAGGCCAGGCTGAGACAAAACGGCCTGGACTGTTTTAAATTGGAGGCAATGTAACAGTCCCTGGGTTTTGCACATGTAGGTCTGGCCTTGGAAGCACCAAAATGAGGCAGTGTTATTTTCAGCCTTGGCTTGGGCAGGCTGCTCTACCTCTGTGCTTGTTTCCCTCAATCCTAAAACAAAAGCAGACACCACCCCCTCCTGTCCTACCAGAGGGGACAGTGATTTGTATTCAGCATGCCGTTCTTTCAAAGAATGAAACCCCTTTTGCAAAAGTAGGCCTTACTAACTTCCGAGAAGGTACGAGTTAGCTTCTGCTTTCCAGAGCTGTGGGCGTCTTCAGCAAGGACTATCCTGCTCACAGACGAGGTCAGAGGCAAGGCCACAGCCGGAGTGGAGGAGCTCATCCCTGCAGCCTCCAGCTCTGACGCCCACCCTCAGCCCACCCGGTGGCACCAGACCACTGCCCGCTCGCTCTCCAGCCTACTTGCCTGGACTCCAGCTCCTCCGTGAGAAGTGGGGGCAGGGCCAGGCTGAAGTTAGGGAGCAGGCACATGGAAATGGCGTGGAGAGAACCAGAGCAATTTGCCCGCCCCCCCGCTGCCCTACTAGACACAGAAGCAGAGGCAGGCGGCGCTGTCTCAGCATGCATAAGGCAGGGCCCCGGGGATGCTGGTGACTGGGAGAAGCTAGGGGGACAAGAGCTAAGTCTCGGGCCTGGAAGTGGGGTGCGGGAGTGCGTTCAGGGCTGTTCGTCTAACTACAGCGCACACGATCGCGAAGCGTAAGTAACCCATCACTGGTTTCAGGATAAGCGCAAGAAGCAGCGGGGAGAAGAGGGATCTCTACCCAGCAGTGGCGCACTCACAGGCTGAGCCCGCAGTTGGCAAGCCATGAAGGGATCCGGCCTCCTTCACTCCTGCCAGTCAGCCGCGGTGCCCAGGCCAATTCTGGAGCTCGACGGGCCCAGCGTAAGGCCATGCAGGTGCTGGAGACCGCCCAGCTCTGGCTCAAGGCTTGGCTATACAGTCATTCACACCCTTGAACTTCTGGCCCAACTCAACACAGGAAGCCGGGGCAGCCAGGCAAGCCTCATGCTGGGTCGGGAAAGTGGTCAGAGGGGGCTTGGGTATTCACTGCTGACACACTCAAGTCTGAGCTAGAAATGTTTAAGAGTGGTTGAGCAACACCTTTCCCCTGTACCCCTAAGGCCAGGGCAGGCTCCTCTAGAGCAGCTCTGAACCGATTTAGGGAGAGGCTGGGAGAGATCTCAAGGTCTTAGACCAAAGCAGAACGCCGCGAAGGAGAGAGATCTAAGCCCGGGCCCAGGATAACAGCAGAACGGGAATAGCTTATGATAGTAAATGGGGTGGGGGGAAGGGTGCATAAATAACGCAACAAGGGACCCCAAGAATGCACCTGTTTGCAAGATACTCTGTATCCTCAGCTCTACCTTAGCTCTACCCAGGAGGACTTGGATGCTCCCAGAGGAAAGGAAAATGCGTTCCCACCTGCAGTGTTGAGCTCATAGCACAGCCCACTGGAATTCAGTTTAATGGAGATGAAGAAACCTTGCAGTCTGGTGGCAATAGAGTTTGACAAGATGACTGAAAGCTGACCTCATGCTGGACACTGAGATCAAGCCCACCACACGGAGAAACCAAGTATGCCAGAGCTGATCTATTTTAAATGCACAGAAGATGTCAAGAAGACCTATTAATCCACCTCTGTCTCCTACATGATTGTTGTTACCCAAAGACACGAACACTAATAAAAAGCCCTTGGATCAAGTGCGACAAAGAGAATGGGAGAAGGAGGAACATAGAAAGAAACTTAGAACAGGAGAAGGGCTTAGGGCTAAGTGTGCTGGAGGACACAGGAGCCGAAAACCGGGCAGCAGAGAGAGATGCCACCTGTGGGTCTGCCCACAGCTGCTCCTGGGGATGGCAGAGAGTGGGAGAGGCGTGTGTTCAAGAAGCAACCTTTGCTCTCGAGGTCCTGTCTGACTGACGATCCTGTGAGTCCCTGACCCTACCTGTCATTCCCCCAGGACTGATGCGTTAACGCTGGCCTCCCAGTCACGTCCCTGCCTGAACCAAGTGCCAACCAGGGCGTCACCAATGATCGGGAGTCGGAGGCTCAGGGTTCCCAGCCCGTGGAAGAGGCTGGGACAGAGAAGGGCTCATGAAGTGAACCGCAAACACCGTGCTCTTCCCTCCCCCCCGACTCCCTGAGACTCACTCTCCTCGAGGAGAGAGACAATCAAGACAGGGCAGGGTTGTCCCACTGAGACAGAGGTCTGATTCTGTTCCAGAGAACCCCTCTTAGGGTTTCATGCTGACGGTGGCAAAGCCGTGACAAATTCTGGGTCTTGTGGCTTTGCGGACCGAATGCTTCCATAGACCGCCACGGCAATCTTCTTGTCGTGCAGATTATAGACCTGCGCACCGTTTCTCTTCAGTATTTAGCAGTGACTTCAAATTCAAATGACTCTCTGATAATATCCATCATGAATATGCATCAAGCCCTTTCTTAGATAAATAATAATTACTTGGCAATTGATATGCTGAAAAAGAAAAGTATTACGGCTGGAAAATGGATTTGTATTCAAGGGGAAACTTTCGGAAATGATGTGAGTCGTGGAATGGCCCTGCGCTGGGGCACTCAGGCTTTGTGCTCCTGTCAGCCGACACCCCAGGGAGGAGGGGACTCTCGGGACTGCCACATGGCCATTAAGGAGATGAGATGAATTCTGCTATTTGACGAAGAGCAGTGATTTCCTCCCCCCCCCC